TTGCGCACCGTGCGCAAATTTACGTACTATGCTACGATAGTCACATCTGACAGTGACAGGTGAATTGAATTGTGTTCTATTGCGAACACGTTATAGTGCAGAAAGTGTCATGTGCAAAGTTCAGCGTGCAAAGTTTGATGCGGAGGACTTGAATATGCAAACTTAAGTTCAGCTTGCGAAGTTCGCACAGCCCGCAAATATCAAGGTCGGTCCCGCAGCGTAGGCGCCATATGCGTTGCAACTATTGTTGAAAGGCGGTTACGAAAGTGGTGCGCCCGATGGTGGTAGTAGTAGCTGTGCCGACAATGCTGAACGGCCGTGACGCACAAAACGCGGCTCGGATTTCAACATCATCGTACGGCAAGTCTGCAAAGAAGGCGTCGAAGCCAGGAAGCTGGCGCAGTACTTCCGGGCTGTCGCTGCACACCGGGTACTGTCGCTGGTTGACCGTCAATACAAGCGGCAGGACTTTGCGGTCGTTAACAATGCTGCTAACGCTGGGGTTGGGAGACAGGCTAGCACGGGCATGCGTGCCGTCCTGCGGCAAGGTCGTGATGCTCCCAGGCCATTCGCGCTGCTCCCAGGCCAGCAGCATGTTGCTAGTCTCGGAGCCGGCTGATTGCTGCGCATGCTGCTGTGTAGCGCCGATGAATGTACGCACATGAGCAGGGAAAGTGCGCATGTCTTGACCGGGTCGGAGTGCCGCAGCAGTGAGCGTGCCGTTTATCCACACGGTTGGGCTGTACTGGGAATTAGTGCCACTTACTTTGGCACTGAAAAGGTAAAGCGGAATGCTCATGCTGCCGGCGTCGCTGACGAGCTGGCAATAGGCGGACGGGGTGCTGGGATCATACGCGAGCTCAACCTCCCCAACTCGTATGTCGTTTATGTCGTTACAAGCTAAATACGCGCTGATCTTTCGGTACGGCCCGCTGACGAATGGCTCCCCAAACGGCAAGACAAGGAGTGCGCTGCCGTCAGTAGGATAGCTGGCCTTACAGGCGGTTTCACATACGGATTCAGGGCCGGCAAACGCAGGCGGGCCGTAAGAATACTCCACACACGCCTGGCCTGAGTGGATTTAACCTCGCTCCTGGCAGTGGTTTTGAAAGTATTCACCAAACCCCCCCCCAAGCAATTGACGACGCTAGCCGGTAAAATGGCTGACTGGACGTGCGTAACGTCGACTACGACTCCATAGTACTTGTTTGTCTGAATGCTAGCCAGTACGGTGCTGTCAATCTGAAGGAGCACAATTCCGTTCGTCACCGGGCCACCCACGATGGTCGCAGTATTGCACTGCATGCCGCTCCACAGGCGGTCAGTGCCGACTTGCGCGGGCCCGGCTGTAAAGGTAAGCTGAAAGCTTACCGAAGTGCTGGCGGGGCTGTACGTCGGATGGGTTATGGAATGATATCACAGTCAGCATCTAGCCGGTATGGGCGAAGTACAGGTTTAACCCCGTGTCGCACGTTCGTGTTCAGTGCGGGTATCGAAGCGGAAAGATTACTTTAAGTTCGAGTAGGATGTGCATCTAAGCGGGCATGGTGAAGCGGCTGAGCAGAATATCGCGTGCTGGATTTGCCGAAAACGCAACGAAACGCGGGTACGCGCACAAACCGCAAGTATCGGCACGCAACTGTATAAGTCGAACCGACAGCATCAAAGATATGGAATTCAAAACGTATAAGACATCTACGCCGACCAATCCGGCCAATCCGCCGAGAGCACCGACCAAGCTGGCCATGTAGCTAATACAACAGAGCAAGGTCCAAGTAATAGCTGGACTGCTTATGTACTTCTTCTAGTTGCTATAGCAGAGCAAGGTCCAAGTAATAGCTGGACTGCTTATGCAAAGAAGGCGGTTGATTATATTGACGGGCTGAGCAGTATTAACTTCGTAGAGAGACTAGAGTGAAAGTATTGGCGCTGAACGGTATAAGTCGAACGACCAGCAGTTAATATACAATATTTAGAACGTCCAACCATTGTAAGACAACTCCGAGGGAGTGCACAGCATGTCACGCACAATAAAGTCGTCCACGTCCTCCACGTATGAAGCCGACAACGAACAAGACTAAATCGTATATTGCATATGCAAGGCACAGACGCAACCGCAAGCGCAAACACAAGACGAAACACAGCCAGTGGGGAGATTGGTTACAACGTCCGAGCCATACCTCGAAGCGGGAGCGCTGCACGAAGCAGGGCTAGTCGGTGTTGCGGTCAATGCCGAGCTCGCGGTGGTTTCAGGCATGCTCCCTGGCGTGGTTGTTTCCTGGTGCGGCTGTTTCGCCGGTGGCGGAGACGGTGGATCTACAGTGGCAAAATGCCTGCGGTATGACGGACGCAGCGAATAGCGGATAATAAAGATTGCCATAATAGACAGCGGACGCAGCGATGGACGACTCACTTGGGTCCCATGTTGCTGAGAGGGGCGTACAAGGTCCAGTAGGCAGAGCTCGTGGTTGCTAGATGACATGCGAGGATACAGCTATATATTCCAGGCAGGCCCGGGTTTTATACCTTTTCTAGCACACGTTCGTATGCGCGACCTTGAGGGGATGCAACTTTGTTCACATAAGTCGATCGGATTTCATTCGCCAGACGTCACCGGCCTTGGGCTAATCTTGGCGAAATGCACTCGTTTGTACTATGACGACCACGACTCCCACGAACACGCGCAGTTAAACGTGCAAAGTTGAGGACGGAAAAAGCGAAGCTCATAAAGCTTATACCTTGTTAGGCTGCTGTGTATGATATACACCTGCCTCCGACTGGGTGTATTAACGTGGAGGTCCTGTAGGTAGCGGCACGTGGCCAACTCGGTGGATTAAAATGGGCTCGCATTTATACTGCTTGACTCAGAATCGCGCATTTCACGGCTCGCACGCCTCTACGCGGCTCGACACATCTCGTTCCCCGATTCCCCGAAGGCCTTTGCACAGCTTGGCTCGTTTGCGGCCGCTTACTTGATCTACATGCGGATCATGCATCTGCGTGGCAGCAGTATGCTGCGGCAGCGCTAAGCGGGGCCACAGAGGACGGGCGCCAGCAAGCGCACTTTGCATGTTTTGAGATTTATGCGCTTAGCTTTGTTCCGTTTTCAATTATGCACGTTCAGCTGCACATGTCCGACTTTCTGTTGTGCACGTCTCCGCCTTTGCGCGTGGGCGTCTGTTGCAGCCTCGACTTTGCTTTTCATCCAGCTTCGTGCATCGACACCCGGCTGTACCATGCACGTTTCATGCTCCGGATGTTACGTCCTTTCGCGTCGGCTTTTGCGTTCCCGGATTTTGCGTGCGGATGGAATGTGTTCGTGGTCGACCGCAATTAAATCCAGCTGCTTTGTGATGACCTTTACGTGCCTAGCCGCGATAACCTGTATGCAAATTTGGGCTTTGCGATCATCTTTACGAGCCTGACCGCTGTAACATTTACGCAACTTTTGGAATTTGCGCAGTGCGTCTTCTTGCGCGTCTAACTTCCCGCTTTGAGCTTCACGTGATGAAACTTGTGTATTCGGCTCCTTCTGCGCTTTCGACTCTGCGCGTTCGACTTTCCGTACTCAGCCGTTATCACAATAAAACGCGATTCGACCCAACCGACTGTATCTGTCGCTTTGCAGCCTAACAAGGTATAAGCTTTATGAGCTTCGCTTTTTCCGTCCTCAACTTTGCACGTTTAACTGCGCGTGTTCGTGGGAGTCGTGGTCGTCATAGTACAAACGAGTGCATTTCGCCAAGATTAGCCCAAGGCCGGTGACGTCTGGCGAATGAAATCCGATCGACTTATGTGAACAAAGTTGCATCCCCTCAAGGTCGCGCATACGAACGTGCGCTAGAAAAGGTATAAAACCCGGGCCTGCCTGGAATATATAGCTGTATCCTCGCATGTCATCTAGCAACCACGAGCTCTGCCTACTGGACCTTGTACGCCCCTCTCAGCAACATGGGACCCAAGTGAGTCGTCCATCGCTGCGTCCACTGTCTATTATGGCAATCTTTATTATCCGCTATTCGCTGCGTCCGTCATACCGCAGGCGTTTTGCCACTGTAGATCCGCCGTCTCCGCCACCGGCGAAACAGCCGCACCAGGAAACAACCACGCCAGGGAGCATGCCTGAAACCACCGCGAGCTCGGCATTGACCGCAACACCGACTAGCCCTGCTTCGTGCAGCGCTCCCGCTTCGAGGTATGGCTCGGACGTTGTAACCAATCTCCCCACTGGCTGTGTTTCGTCTTGTGTTTGCGCTTGCGGTTGCGTCTGTGCCTTGCATATGCAATATACGATTTAGTCTTGTTCGTTGTCGGCTTCGTTGGAGGACGCGGACGACTTTATTGTGCGTGACATGCTGTGCACTCCCTCGGAGTTGTCTTACAATGGTTGGACGTTCTAAATATTGTATATTAACTGCTGGTCGTTCGACTTATACCGTTCAGCGCCAATACTTTCACTCTAGTCTCTCTACGAAGTTAATACTGCTCAGCCCGTCAATATAATCAACCGCCTTCTTTGCATAAGCAGTCCAGCTATTACTTGGACCTTGCTCTGCTATAGCAACTAGAAGAAGTACATAAGCAGTCCAGCTATTACTTGGACCTTGCTCTGTTGTATTAGCTACATGGCCAGCTTGGTCGGTGCTCTCGGCGGATTGGCCGGATTGGTCGGCGTAGATGTCTTATACGTTTTGAATTCCATATCTTTGATGCTGTCGGTTCGACTTATACAGTTGAGTGCCGATACTTGCGGTTTGTGCGCGTACCCGTGTTTCGTTGTGTTTTCGG